TTTACATTTGGAATAAAACAATACGGTACATGTAAATGAATGTAAAATGGCGGCGTCAATAGTCCTTGTCTTTGAGCTCAGAATTCCACACTTCAGCATGGTATTTGCCACAAAATTTCTATACCAAAACAATGAGCATATGTTGTAGCACAGTATGCTAAGTGAAATGAAGCTTGCTTTTGCTCCAATCCTTCAGGAGAAGAGTGAAAATCTATTCTTCCATTCATGTCGCCTACATTTAGCTTCCTACAATTTACGGAGTTTTACTGAAAAATTAAATTCCGTGTCCTCTAATTTCTGGACATGAACTATCCTTTGCTGCCATTCAGAAATGACAGTCCGAAGATTGAGAATTTTGGCTGATTATTGGTATTGTTGGACACCACGCTTTGAGAGCTTATAACTTTCTATGCACTCTTGCTAGAGCTACAATTTTGTCACGCAAATAAAGGATAACTATTGCTATAATACTTTGCAGTTTCATGAGATGGCAATGTATAGTTTTCCTAAAACAAGTGTCCGAAAATTGATGGTGTACGATCATTGATAATGTACTCTATGTCATTGTAGACATTTCTGGTAATGCATGTAATTTTTATTTTTAGCGCCAGTTATAACCCGATTGGTACTGAAGGATTGGAACATTTATTGCCAGGACTTCTCAATTGTAAACAATTACAAAGGCTTGAGTAAATACATATACTTCAGTTTGCATTAATATTCTGTATTTATTTTATAGGCTTTGTGATTGTCGGCTTTCTAGCAAGTCAGGCCAACTGTTCAGTAAAATAATATCACAACTGTCAAACCTTGAGCAACTTGAGTAAGTCAATCAATTGGTATTTACCTTATATTAAGCATGATATTGACATTTTATGCATAATGTACCAAACATGGGGTTAGTTACATTAAAATGTAATGTATTTACAATTACTATTGCCAGAAAATTTTTGATATTACTATTACTATTACCATAGATATTATAGACTACGTAACCAGGATTGGAAACTAGGATTCCCTGGTGGACAACGTCCGTGATTGAATTGGGCGTTAAATAGAATAAATTTGACCATGTGGCTTGCTTTTCATGCGGAAATAATGAATTTTTGGTTTTAAAGCAGTACTGTAGTCAAATACAATGCATGAATTAAAATGCTAACCCCCCAATTCCATGCACACAATATCACCCTATCATCACCCAAAAGGAGAAACCTCTGCTTGTTTTGTAAAAGCTGTAACAGGTACGACAGTGGACTGTTCGCAGAAACAGTATTTCAGATATTACTCTTCTCACATAGCAAATCAGTAAATGAAACTATGACAGTTCCATGCACAATGATTGTGGAAACATTTCCAATGATCTTGTTAGTCTATTTTTACCCGTGTAATGGAGCAACAGGTACAAAAAGTTTTGAAAATTTGCAAGTAACAGAAATTTGAACAATATCACAGTATATTTGCAAAATAACAATGGTATCATTATTTTTTTATTATAGTCATGTTACACAAACACTAAAGTATTGAAATATTATTAAAATAACAAAAAATCAACATTGGTTTAAATGCATTCTTCCTTTGAATGTCGTCGATGAGTAGCCATTTTTTGACCACACCCACCAAAATCCAATCACGGACCCTGTGTCAGCCGGTTTGTACTGGTTTGAATGGATCACGTGACCTAGTTTCCAATCCCGGTTACGTAGTCTATAATATCTATGCTATTACATTACTTGACTAAACTAAAGTCATTATATTATATTACTTTTACATGAAGGTACATGTACATAAATAAAACCTTTTAATATAAAAACATGCTCTCTACACATGACTAAGCAACTTGAATAGAATCAGATGTGCCACAAAGTTCGCGGCCTGACAGTGGCACTAGGAAATTGACGCTTATCAATTTCTATGAACTGTCAAGTGCAGCATGCATGTAATCAACACATATTACATTGTAATTTCAATTACAATTACTATTACTGACTGTTTATTTCATATTACTATTACAATGGATTTCATTTTTTCAATTACTGTTTTAATTACTATTACACCGATATTTGTAATCACTGATTACTATTACATATTACCCCATGTCTGCCATGTACCTTTTGGCTGGTAAAAGTTATCTGTTATTTTCTTTTACCAAATGGTTACTTGGCAAGAGAAAATGGTTAGACTTAATAACCTATGATTAATAATTTTATTCTTTCAGATTGTATCGTAACCAACTTGGTGATGATGGTATTGAAGACATGATTGAGAGTCTTAAAGTTGCTCCAAACCTGAAACAATTAAAGTCAGTAGATTATAATCCATTTATTTTTATCTCTTTTTTTCACAGTTTTACACAGAATGGTATCACTGATAGAGGTGGTTGTTGCTTAGCAGAACTAGCTGAAGTTGCACCTTCATTGCAAGAAATGAGGTCACATTATTTCTATTAACCTAGTGATGATTGTACTGTGTGTAGGCTGTTTTATAATGAGGTCTCTGATGTGACAAGGAAAGCATTTTATGAGGCTGCACAAAGAAGGACTCAACAAGAACTCCACGAAATCCGATATGCCATTTAACTTTACCTTTTAATTTTTTGCTGTGTAACAGAAAATTGTTTTTGCCATAGATATTAGCAAGAGTCCATATTAGAGGTGATGACTGTTTTTTTGCTGCACCTGTGCAATGTGCATAGATAATTTACTCTAATATCTATTCTATGGTGCATGTGATGTGGGCGGACCCCACCCCTATTTGGCAGGTGTGGCTATTTTGTTAAACCTCTTTGTTTCCCTCAACGGTTTCTAGTCTCGGGGCTAGACGGTTTCTTGTTCTTTCGTTCATGTCTTCATTACCTGATACAGTGTCTGTTCTTGATTGTCCTAACGGGTCTAAGGTATACCTAGTCGGTACGGCTCACTTTAGTAAAGAGAGTGCCACTGATGTACAGAAAACAATCCAACAAGTGAGACCTGAGTTTGACAGTACATGTATGTACAATACAAGTTACTAACGTTTTGTTAGTTAGACCATGACCATTGTATTAGCACATAATACTAGTAAAAGGTCTTTCATTCGATTTTTGAGCAACTTAAAAATTTGTATTTTGATTGGAATCTAGTCTGGTCCTGCCTCACTTTGTTGCGCGGGAGTGGTGCAGAAGAGTCTGGTGACACTGCTACAGAATTTGTAGCACTAAGCACGGGATTGAGCGTCTCAATCAGATTGCAGCACTCACGTGGAAGTAACTTTGTCACGTGACCTATTCAAAATGGCTGCAAGTATGACTGACAAACCTACTGTAGATATGATAAATGCTAGCAAAGGAACAGAAGCTAACTGAGTACAGGGACTTTGGCCCTATTTTTGAGCAACTTTAAAAATTCATAAAAAATCCAATTTTTATTGGAATCAGTTCAAACTTTTTACGTAACATAAGTACATGTATATGCATCAGAAAATGTAATAAAAATAAAGAATTCTCACCTTTTCATTTTTGGCGAAATTTGGCCTATGACCCTGTACTATAGTACAGGGAC